GTCCAGCAGGGGGCTCGGGGTGAGGGGCAGGCCCGGGGAGAAGAGGCCGCCGGGCGGGTAATGGTTCTTGCCCTCGCAGAAGCGCCGGTGCTTGTTGAGGGAGGAGGTAGTGCTGAACATCTGGCCGCAGTCCTTGCACTTGATCTGCGTGCGGCAGTCGGCGTGCATGCGCTTGTGGCGGCACAGGTTGGAGAACTGCGTGTAGGACTTGTGGCAGACCTCACCTAAAGCGTCAGCAGAAAGCACGCAAACACGCTATGAAATTACCAGGAAACCGGGGGGCGGGGCAGGGAGGGGGCTTCTGTCCCTGGTGATCGGAGCAGCCTGTGCTTCTCTCTGTGTGTACATGTATGTCACTAGGTATGCACGCGCATGTGCAAGTGTGTAGATGCACACATGTTCATGTGAGAATATGCAAACGCAGGCACATGTATTATGTATGTGTGCATGTAGACATGCGTGCACGCATGTTGCACATAGACGTGGGAATGCCGTGTGCACGAGCATGTGTGTTCATGTGTGTACATGTTGTGCATAAATGGGTGAATGTGTGCACATACACAAATGTATGCACGTCACACATGCATGTGAATGCCACTCACATGCACATATGTGTGCATGTGCACACAAGTGTGCTTATGTATTTCACAGTGAGCACGTGTGCATGCCATTCGTGGGTACATGCATGTTGCCTTGTGTATGTGCACATCTGCATGTGTGTGCCTGAAAGCACATGTGCACACAGACACACATGTGCACCCCGTGCTAGGGCTGGCCTTGTCCCCAGCATGAACAGACAAGGGCTGCTTCTGCGTCTCCTGTGCTCCCCGTGCAGCCAGGCTAGGCCTCATGCTCTGCGTCTGTAATGGGGGCAAGGACTCCCGGCCTCAGGTGGGCAAAGGCAGGCAGGCAGCCATGTGCCGCCGCGGGGCTCGCCCAGGACCCACCTCCCTTCCCGCCCCATCCTGCCCCCCACATCACACCCCCATTTCTAATGGTGCAGTGGGGGCAAGGACTCCCGGCCTCAGGTGGGCAAAGGCACGTTTCTAACGGTGCAGTGTCCCCAGCCGCCCGTCCTCTCCTGTCCCAGGCCCTGGGGCCTGCAGCCCAGGCGGCCACCCCTCAGGAGTGCTGGGTGGGGAGCCTGGGCTCCTGGCCTGTGT